AACAGATCTTCCATCCATTCCTTTCCTTCGTGATCATCGCCTTCCCATCGCCGCCGCTTGTCCCACCCGCTCTCACATAAAACTTCAAAAGAGGAAGAAAATCATGAAATTTTAAGCACGGCACACCGCTAAATGCCATCTTTCCGGCATCAAGAACATAGAAGCAACAAAGGAATCGAACTTTTGACGGTAGAACTAGCAAAACCGGAAAGCGGGCTCGGGAGAACCGGTCGTCTACCTGTCTACGACCGTTTGTACTCAAGCTTAGAGCTTTCAGGAATGCAGCGGGGGAGGCAGCTACGGGAGAGCTTAAGGCCACCATTGTGAGAAGCACGAACAGAGAGAGAAAGAGAGAGCTTTGTCGGAGGAAGCAAACGGGAGAGACAGAGCAGAGGAGAGCTGTGATGGAGGGAGGACGAGGAGGAGCGCGCAATACATAGCAAGGCGATGATGGCGACGGCGATACAGTCGTGGCGATAAATCTTGTGCTATTTTTGCTTGTTATTTGAAGTTTGTAACATTCTTTGCATTATATTATTTGCTTTATATTTATCTTCACATTATTTCGATATATGTAATTTTTTACATAATATTATCTGAAATCTATTTATGGTACTATATATTTTATATATTTTAAAATTGCATGATTATTTATTGAAATAGGTCGATAATACTATTTAGTTAGATATAAAGTCCAAATGGGATTTCAGCTTTTACAGATAATTTGTGTCTATTCGGTAATGGTTATCTCAACCAAAACATCAACAACACAAGTCAACATTTCTGGTTCTTATTTGATATGAAAATTTTGATTATTAGAAAAATATTATGAGAGAGTGAGAAAAAAATCTTCAAAAATTTATATAAGAGGATGTAGGAGGAGAATTATATTTGAGTTGGATTAGCTCAAGTGATCGTGGTAAGTTTGGCTATAATCTATAAATATATATAAGAATTATCAAACCACAAATTTTCAATTGATTATATCTCATTTATGTTTAATTATTGATATTTAGATTTTTCTTGTGGTATCGATATTTTCTCACATATCAATAATCACGTAATAACTTAATCCTAGATTCTCAATCATCGTAGATATTTTGTTAATATTAATGTCATATACAACATGAGGATTCAAAAATAGGTAGGGCTAAGGAAGTTTCAGTCATGACGTCCAAATAGATCGCATCAAGCAATGAAACACATTATTAATTTAATTATTTCCCTTTTCCAATGCATTTTATAGATGTTTCAGATGGTCTAATTAATTTAATGTTTTCCCTTCACAATAAAAGATTCGACATTTGTGGGACTGATGACGTTTTGCAGTCCCACAATAAAGAATTCAAGAATATAAATATTTTTACATGAATGTATTTCTAAGAATTAGGGTTTGATTATTCAATGAATGCCCAATGTATCTGTACGTTCTAATATGAAAAGATAAAAAAAAAAGCCTTGAATTCTTCTTAGAGAGGATGAAAAAATAATTAAAGATTTACATGAAATTATATTATGTTCTCATATGACGATAAATTTATTATTATTTTTTTGATCGACAGACAAAGAGTGACTAAGCAAATAAATCTGATAAGAATTATTATATGTTTTTTTTCCAAAGTCTTCGACTCGCCAAACATGATTTATGGCACTCATTACCTTTCTACGCACGTTTCAAGATGATAGGCTTTGTCTTTAGTGAGATCTCCTAAGCGTGAGGGGATATGCTCACAGAGTTCAAACATGCAAAAACAGCAATAAATTTAGATCGAGAGGCGAGATAACGAACAACATGTAAAACGTTTTGCCGCATGCTGTGCTCTTCAATACCATCAACACAGATATCCATCCATGTCCATCGCACTCAAGCAGGTGCAAGCATCCTTTTACAGGGACTCCCTCGATCTAGCTAGCGACTTCATGCGATTGTAGCAAACTATTAGCAAGTCCAATCAAGATTATTATTTTATCATCTTCAATAGTGCTGGCTCATGATTGTGTGATGAGTCATTTAGTGATGAAATGTAGAACGCAGGTGACACGAACAGCTTCTTGTGTATGATCTACTAACTAAAGCTTTTAGATGACTTGACTATGTCGATTGAAGGATCAAAAGAAGTGCCATCATTGACATGTCATGATAAGATCAAACATTTCATGTCGATTGAAGGATCAAAAGAAGTGCCATCATTGATGACAATGCTACGATGGATTGTCCTCTTAAAATTAAAGATTATGAAATTGCTTCGGCTGGTAAGAGAAAAATATTTTTAGGAGAATTAATTGAACCTGATCCAATATTATATTAATCGAATCCAGTGTTATAAATTGTTCAAATATAAAAAAAGATAATTTCTTTTGTAGTTATTAGACATTTGAAAAGTAATTTCTTTTATACTTATTTTGATAATTATTTATGTCTTTTATAAAAATATTTATAAGTATTTGAGAGTAAATTATAATGAACATCTCATTCTTCTTTTTTGTTGACATCAAAAATAACCTTTCAAGTGATTAAATTAAATATTTTCTAATTTATCTTTGAAGATTTTTATTGTTTGCTTAATATAAATATTTTAAAATCTTATCATATCCATTCAAACTATTTGGATCAAATACACAATAATCTTATTGAGAAGAGGATGTAAATATCATTTTAAAGAAAGCGTTTTCAATATGTCCGAGCCTAAATACATTTGTTATAGTGTTTTTGAACTTGTATTTGTTATTTATAATTGGTTTCCATAGTGTTATTCATTATCTTTATTATAATTCACCATGGAGGCCATAAATATCATCAGATTATTGAATCAAGATTTTGTTCATTTGGATTATTTTGATAAAATAAATTTCACATGTTGGCAAGACAAGATAAAATTCATGTCGACTGCTTTAAAGATTTTCTATATACTTGATCCAAATCTTCTACTAATTCCTAATCCAATCGATAATAACACTGATGAAGTCATGGCTGAAATAAAGAAGAGAAATGAAGATAAAGTTATGTATAGAGGATACATTCTCAATACTCTTTCAGTCGACTTTATGATCTTTATACAGTGGAACCATATGCAAAAGCATTTTGGAATGCTTTGGAATTCAAGCATCAAGCTGAGGAGGAAGGTACAAAGAAATTTTTAATTTTTAAATATTTTGATTATAAGTTTTTGGATGACAAGTCAATCTTGACACAAGTGTATGAGTTGCAGGTCATTGTTAATCAATTGATGGCTGAAAAAATTGAACTTCTTGAATATTTTCAAATAGAGATTATAATAGCCAAATTACTTTCTTGGAAAGGGTATAGAAAGAAGATTTTGCATAACTCCAAGAATATCACTTTGGAGCAAATTCAAAAATATTGATTCAAAAATAAAGATACAAGTGAGAACTCTTTTGGTAATATAAAACCAAATGTCTTGAATCAGCCTAAGAATTTTAACAAAGGCAAGCAAAATAAGGAGAATCATCTTGGCCGATCAAGAAAAATTTAAGAAACCAAAGAATAGAGGCTGTTTTGTTTGTGAAAAATATGATCATTTTGCTAGGTATTGTAGATTTAAGAAAGGTCAGAAATAAGAAGTTAACTTTGTTAAGGGAGATGATAATATAATCGCTACGGTGAGCAAAGTGAATACCATATTTGGTAATGTTTTTGATTGGTGGTATGATACTTATACTACTGTCCATGTTTGCTACGAAAAGATACTCTTCAAGACTTATAAAGAAGTATGGATGGACAAGAGATTCAAATAGAAAATGAAGTTTATTCTAAGGTGATTGTCAACTCATTTTTACTTTAGGAAAGAAAGTCAATCTTACGAATATTCTTCATATATCATATATGAGTAGAAATTTAGTGAATGAGAATCTCTTTGGCAAACCGAAAATTAAATTTATATTTAAATCTGAGAAGTTAATTATATCCCGTAATGAAACTTTTGTTGGAAAAAGCTATTCCGCCGAGGGAATGGTCAAATTATCTATTGTTGATAATGATTCTAAATTTAATAAAGATATTACTTATGTTTATATTGTTGATTCTTATTCATTATGACATGATAGATTAGCATATATTGAACTAGCACAATTAAAAGAATAGTTAAGTGTGGCTTAATAAATTATCATTTTGATGATCTTAATAAATGTGAAATTTGTGTTAAATCAAAGATGATAAAGACATACTAATTAAATTTGTGTTAGCAAAATTATCATTTTGATGATCTTAATAAATGTGAAATTTATGTTAAATCAAAGATGATAAACACAAATTGTTGTTATTTTGTGTTAAAAGACATACTAATTTGTTAGATTTAATATATTCTAATATATATGAATTACATGGCATGTTAATAAGAGGAGAAAATAAATATTTCATCACTTTTATAGATAATATATCTAAGTTTACATATGTTTATTTATTGAAACATAAAAATAATATTTTTAATACTTTTAAGGCATATAAAGCAAAAGTTAAAAATTAATTAAGAAAGAAAATTAAAGTTCTAAGAATTGATAGAAGAAAAGAAAGCTTTCATAATGAATTTAACTTGTTTTGTGAACAACATGACATAATTCATGAATGTTCAGCACCTAGAGCACTGAACAAAATGGATTATGAAAAGAAAAAATAGAACTTATCTAGAGATGATAAATGTTATGTTATTACATACTAAATTACCTTATAATTTGTGGAGAGAAGCTTTATTGGTTGTATGTCATATTTTAAGTAGAATTCCTTCTAAAATGAGCAAGATCTCTCCATATGAGATATGGAAGGGAAGATAACATAACATTAGTTATGTTAAAGTATGAGGGTGTCTTACATATTGCAAGAATAATGATCCTCAAAGGCCAAAGTTGGGATATAGAGGAATCAAATGTGCATTTGTAGGCTATGCTTTAAATAGTAAAACTTATAAACTTCTTAATTTGGAGGCTAATGTCATAATAGAATTACGGGATGTGGAGTTCTTTGAACACTTACTAACTTCAAGTGATAATATTCATCCTCTAACTAGTAAAGAGTCACTAGTGGAGACATCTCAAGAGGTTAGTGGGTAGCTTAATATTCTTTTGAATGGACATCAATCAAGTTTATAAGAGGTTGGAGAGCGATCTCGTGAATTAAGGAGAAGCACTCATGTACGAAAAATAAAAATATTAGGATCAGATGAGATTGATTTTTAAACTATTTCCTTTTATCTTGTAGAAGGAACTACTAAGAGAGTCTTAAGAATAATTCATCTTGTTTTACAAATAGAAGATGATTATAAAATATTTAAAGAAGCTATGGCATTTCGTGATGCTGCTTTTTGGAAAGATGCTATTAATGATGAGATGAATTTTACTATGTCAAACCATACTTGAGAACTTATCGATCTACCTTCTGCCTCTAAATTTGTTGGTTGTAAATGGGTATTTCATTGGAAGTATCATATAGATGATACTCTCCAAATGTTCAAAGCAATGTTAGTTGCT